GAGTGAGGTTTCTTTAGCCCGACAGTGGTTTATTTTAAAGCCCAGAATATTTGTGGGAGACATCCTTCACCTCTGAAACTAAAGCAGCTCTTGGTCCCAGTCACTGCACATCTGCTTTAGGAGCTGATCCGTTCAGCACCACGACGGGAACGTGCCAAGACTGGAGACAGAAAAATCCTCCTCCAAAAGGCTTCAGGAGGCAGCAGCCCAGAGGAGTGCTGCCACCATGTCCCACCACTCACTCCAGAATTAAAGCCTTGCAAGTCGATTCCAGTCTCCCTCCTGCACTCACCCCAACCCAAAGACCATCCAAACCCCGGGACACCAACACTTCCGCTCCTCTCAGGACTTTGCCAAGGGCTTGGATGCAGCAGAGAACAGCCAACACCCCATCCCAGGGCCCAGCCAGGACCTGCTCCTTCCCACTTTCCCTCTTCCCTGTTACTTCCTCAAACAGCTCCCTGCCCAGCACTTCCCCTTCCCGCCCTTCCACTCACCCGGACGTGGCACACCACTGGAACTGGGAACGGCATCCATGGGCGATGGCTCAGGGGAAAAGCCTTTTTCCGGCCCTGGAGCACCCCAGGCCCAGCAGGATGAGTGGGATGGAGCTCAGGACACCCGGCCAGGCTGTCCCTGGGAGCTGAGCACGGAGCTGAGACCCGTGAGCTGGGGAGCTCCCGACAGACTGAGCTTCCCCCGCTCCGGGAACCCGCCGGCACACGGATGTGGCTCGGCAGGTACAGCCCGCCCTGGAGCTCCCCAGGCTCCTGCCTGCTCCCTGCCTGCTTTGCAGCCCTCCCCAAACACTTTGTTAGGCAGAACGAGGGCTCAGAGCAGCCCCAGGGCTGTTTGTGAGGAAGAGTTTCACCAAGAACAAGAATTCCAACCAGCAAGAGCCTGGGAACTCCCTGGAGTTGCCCCAGGTCTCCTCATTAGTGACTGCAGTGCCCTGTCACGTAGGAACTTGCTCCTACCCTGCACGTAACACAGGGATGATCACAGAACTTTGGGATTGTTTAGGCTGGAAAAGACCTTTCAGAGCACTGAGCCCAGCCCTTAACCCAGCACTGCTGAGTCCAGGCCTGGGGTTAAATGAAAAGCTGCTGGATTTTGGGTCACCACGGATGGCAAACCCTGGGCCCCTCAAAGCACACACACAGCTGGTTTCCAGTGCCTCCCAGGCAGGTCCTTCAGCTTTCCCAGGGCTCCTGGGGACTCCCTGCCTTGGTAGCAATGCCAGGAAGCACCAACCCAGCACTGTGAACAGGCAGGAGGGTCCCAAAGCCCTGCCCAGGCCGGCAGATCACAAGGGAGCTGCCTGATGGCAAAATCATGGAATCCCAGAATGGTTTGGGTGGGAGGAACTTTAGAGCCTGTCCAGTCCCACTCCTGCCATGGGCAGGGACACCTTCCACCAGCCCAGGTGGCTCCAAGCCCCGTCCAACCTGGCCTTGGACACTTCCAGGGATCCAGGGGCAGCCACAGCTTCTCTGGGTAACCTGTGCCAGGGCCTCCCCACCCTCACAGCCAAGAATTCCTTCCCAATATCCCATCTATCCCTGTCCTCTGCCAATGGGAAGCCATTCCCCCTTGTCCTGTCACTCCAGGCCCTTCTAAATAGTCCCTCTCCAGCTTTGCTTCCAGCTCCCTTCAGGCACTGGAGGGCCACAATTAGGTCTCCCTGGAGCCTTCTCTTCTCCAGGCTGAACAATCCCAGTTTTCTCAGCCGAGAGACTGTGGAGCACCTGGATGCACCGACAGGCCTGGGCACACCCTCCCCATCCTGCAGGGACACAGGGATGCTCCCTCCCCAGGGATACACCTGCGTGCCTGGAGGGCAGCCACAGACACCCAAGGACACGGGGACACTCTCTCCCTTCCAGGCAGGCACAGGGGGCACTGGGACAGGCACACGTGGAGGGCACAGGGACACTCTCCCTGTGCATCAGCTCACGTGCCAGGACAATCCTGCCTGCAGGGTCTGCCCTCCCTCAGTGCAGGGACACAGGGACTGTCCCGAGCTGCACACGGATTCCCAAAGTGAGTCCATGTGCCAGGACACAGGGAAGGTGGCTGGGCACAAGGGGGCCAGCCTGCTCTGGGGACTGGCACAGCAGCATGTCCCTCGTGGGGGCACAGCCCCCCTCAGGGACCCCAGGACACAGAGGGACAGACCTGCCCTGGGAAAACCTTGGGGGGGGGGTTTGGGGACATGCCAGGGATCCCCCTGTGTGACTCACAGGCCGTGGAGACAAACCCCTCGCACAGAGCACAGACACACGTGGGGACACCCCCGAGGGGCCCCCTCCCACCCCAGAGCTCCCCTGGGACACCCGTTCCTCACAGCCCCCGTGGTCACACCGCCTGCAGACCCCCCGGTGACACCCCAACAGTCCCCTGCCCCCGCGGCCACAGTGCCCAGAAACCCCCTCCACCACACGTCCCACTCCCAACGCTCTGGGACCCCCCCAACACCCCTGACACCTCCTACCAGAGCACCAGGACAGCCCCTCAGTGCCCCCCTGCCCCTCATCCCTCAGTGCCCCCCCTCCCCTTCACTGCCCCCCCAACCGTGCCCCCCTCTCGCCCCCTCAGGGTACCCCCATCCCTCGTCCCTCAGTGCTGCCCCTGCCTCCCAGTGCCCTCCTTGCCCCTCTGTGTCCCCCTCTCCCTCTAACTCCTCACTGTCCCCCCGACCCCTCAGTGCCCTGTCGGTACCCTCCTGCCACTCACGATCCCCTCTCCTCTCACTGTCCCCTCTCCTCTCGCTGTCCCCTCTCCTCTCGCTGTCCCCTCGCCCCCTCACTGTCCCCCCGTGCCCCACAGCCCCCGCCGCTCAGTGCCCCCCACTCCTCAGTGCCCCGCTTGCCCTTTCAATCCCTCCAGTGCCCCCCACCCCTTGCCCCCCAATCCTGTCCCCCTCAGCGCCCCTTACCCTTCACCCCCCGCCCCTCAGCGCTCCTCCAGCCCCTCAGCTCCCCTCGCCCCCCAACGCCCCCCATCCCTCCCGCCCCAGCGCCCCCCGCATCCCTCACTTGCTCCCCTCTCCCGCGGCCACACCGCACCCTCCGTGGGCCTCCCTATCTCCCTCCGCTCAACGCGGGGCGGCGTCCGGCGGGCCGGGCCGGCCCTGGCGTGTGCCGGGAGGAGGCCGAGGCTGCCGATGGCTCTCACCGCCGCCGCCATCTTCGCCGAGTCCGAATGAGGGAGAGCCCGCCGGGAGGGAAGGGGTCCTCGCACGCCCGCCCCCCCCCACCCCGCGCCCCGCCCCGCCCCGCGTGCGCCTTTCGCGCTGCCTGCTCCGCTACCCCGCCTGCCGCGTTCTCCCGCGCCCAGCCCCGCGCGCGCCCGCGCCCGCCGCTCGCCCCGCGCCCGTTCCGGCGGGGGCTTCCCCGGGAAAGCGGCGGGGGCGAGCGGCGGCGGCGGCGCGCGGGGGGGGCGTGGGACAGGCAGCGCCGCGGGCAGCCCCGGGGGCGGGGCTTCGCGAGGACCCCCGCCCTGAGCGGCGGCGCGGGCGGTGCGGGCGCAGGGCGGAGGTGAGCGGGGTGGGGGGGAAGCGGGGTCGGTCCCGAGGGGAGCGGGGGACGGGGGGATCGGCCCGGGGTGGGTGAAGGGGGACGCGGGAAGGGCGGGGGAGAGCCCGGGGGGGGCGGTCCCGGCCGGGCGGGATGGACCGGGGGGCCAGGGGAAGGGGGAAGGAGGTCGGTCCTGGGTGGACGAAGGGGTCGGGGGAAAGGGGGAAGGAGGTCGGTCCCGCATGGACCGGGGGGGTTCGGGGGAAGGTGAGGAGTGTCAGGGGTTCATCTCGGATGTAGGAGAGGATCAGATGGGCGGTCGGTCTCAGATGGTCGGGGAAGGGAGAGAAAAGTCGGGGGATCGGTCCCGGTTGGACGGGAGGGGCGGGGGATGCGGGACAGAAGTGAAGGGGGGAGTCAGGGGGTCGGTCCCGGGTGGACGAGAGGGTCGGGGAAAAGGTGAGGAGCGTCGGGGAGTCGGTCCCAGATGGCCGGGGAAGAGAAAAAAGTTGGAGGATCCGTCCCGGATGGACGGAAGGGGCGGGGGATGCGGGACAAGGGTGAAGGGGGGTCGGTCCCGGGTGGACGAGAGGGTCGGGGAAAAGGTGAGGAGCGTCGGGGAATCGGTCCCAGATGGCCGGGGAAGGGAGAGAAAAGTCGGGGATCCGTCCCGGTTGGACGGGAGGGGGATGCGGGACAAGGGTGGAGTCGGGGGGTCGGTCCCGGGTGGATGCGGTGGCAGGGTAAGGCTGAAGGGGGTCGGTCCGGGATGGGCTGGGGAGTCGGGGGGTCCGTTCCGGATGGACGAAGGAGTCGAGGGGTCGGTCGGTCGTGGATGGACAGGGGGGTCGGGGCCGGGTGGACGAAGGGGTCGAGGGGTCGGTCCTGGATGGACGGGATGGTCTGGGGTCGGTCCCGGGTGGACGAAGGGGTCGAGGGGTCGGTCCCGAATGGACGGAGGAAGGGTGAGAGGGTTTGGGGAGGTCAGTCCCGGATGGACGGGGTGGTCGGGGAGTTCGTCCCGAATGGACGGGGGGGGGGTGTGAGAGAAACAGGTGTGTATTTTGGGGGGCTGTAGCAGGGGTGTATTTTGGGGGGCTGTAGCAGGGGTGTGTTTTGGGGGCTGTAGGGGTGTGCTGTGAGTCCCGGGGTGGTGGGGGTGTGGTGGTGGGGTGTGAAGGTGCTGCGGCGTGTGCGGGGTCAGGCTTGCGTGGAGAGAGGGAAGGGAGGACGGGCTGTTCGCAGGATTGTGGAATATCCGGAGCTGGAAGGGATCCACAGGATCATGGAGTCCAGCTCCCGCTGCGGGAGTGGGGCAGATCCTGCAGGCTCTGGAAGGAGCTTTGCCTGGAGGGATTTGTGTGCAGGGCTGAGCCGGGGGTGCCAGGGGAGCACTGGCTGCCAAAAGTGGGAGGGTGGGCACGTTTTGGGGGGCAGAGACAGTGGGTACGTTGGGAAGAGGCGGCTGTGCAGCGTGGGCAGGTTTGGGTACTGGGGAGGAACTTGTGTCAGCTGGGCAGGGCAGATTTAGGGAAAAACCTCAATGAGGTGAGGGGAGGGAGCTCTGCACAGATGGAGGAAGAGCAGGCTGCCACAAAAAGGGCAATTTTCAGGACCTTTATTGACAGGAGGAGCCTGGGTTTGGTTTGTGGGCTGGGAAGTGAGGAATGCTGCGTGGCACATTCCAGGTGTGGACTGTCAGCTTGTGCTGAGTTCTGAGGAGCTGTGGAGACCTGCAGCGGGCTGAGTTTGGGAATACAGGCGTTCCTGTGCCCCTCCGTGGAAAACCTGTGTGTTTGTGGGAGGGAGTGCTGGGATTTGAACCCCAAAAACGGGACTGAGGGAGGCGAACGTTGCCACGAAGAAGGCAAAGAACTGGAGCTGCGATGACCATTTTGTGCCCTGGGCGATGAAATACACGGAGGAGGGTTCATTTAGGGGGAAACCTGAGTTTGGAATGAACTTTGGGACGGCCGTGGTGGAATTTTGGGGGTGGAGGCTGTTGGCTTGTTCTGTTCTCCGTGGGGATACGCAGCAGATACCCCGAGGTTGGCATCGGGGGCTGCCACGAGGGGCAGGGGTGTGACCTGGTGCCAAGGGCAGTGCGTCAGGAGGGCCGTGCTGGCGGCGGGGCTGGCTGGGCACCGAGACAATTTTCCGGCGGGGAGGCGGCGGAGCAGTCGCTGGGAGGGGAACTGAGAAGCTCACTGGGCAGTATTTATTCACTGGGCAGTATTTATTCACTGGGCAGTATTTATTCACAGGCACATTTGCAGCCCCAGTCACAAGCCAGGCTCCTCCTGCTCGGATTCCGCTCGCGGAGCGCGGTGGGAAGCGATTCCTCTGCTGCTGCTGCTGCTGCCCTTGGAGTGTCTTCTCCCCGCTTTTCTGGCTCTGTGTGAGGCAGGCAGGAATTGCTCCAGGCAGGCCAGGTTGGAGTGAGAGCAGCCTTTCTGCAGAGCCCAGGATGAGTTCCATGCTGACCTCGGCCATCCGGAGCCTGCCCGTGTCCTCAGCCTGGGCTGCCGGGGCCTGTGAGTATCCTGGGGCTGGGGGGTCCCAAAGCTCCAGGTTTAGTGTTGGCTTTGGAACAGAGGCTTGGACCTGAACCTCTGTTCTGTTCTCACCTTAAAAAAGCCGACAGTGGGTTTTTTTTTTCTCTAAATACCTGATTCCATTGTTGCTGTGTCTGTCCCCCCATTGCTGTGTCTGTCCCTTCCCACACCACCTGGGGGAGGAATCTCCTGTTAACAGATCCAATGAACCGTGTCCAGTTTCTGACCAGTGTAAACCAACCAGTACCCCACAGGTATTGGTTGTAATTGGTTACAGTGTAAGGACACCCCACTGTCTTACAGTGACAGGATTTGGTTTTTTAACCCTTCCTGTGGAAACCAGAAACGTTTCTGACAGGGTTTTTTTTTGCCGTTTTCTCCTTCCTTGTTTTCCAGTTGCTCGGTCGCTCAGCTGCTCCTCACAGCTCCAAGCCACAGGTAAAGGGAGAACACCAGGAATCCCAGAGGGTCTGTGCTAGACAAGGCTGTTTTGGAAGCTGCCTCCCTTTTCCAGAGTCTTGTTTCACTTAAACCTTGGAAATGGTGCAGAGTGCCTTAGTACAACTGCTCCTAAAAAGCTACGAACAAGGGAAACTTGAGGCACATCCCTGTTTACAGCCCTCTCATCCTCTGAGTGCTCCTGGCTCCAGCAGCCTTTCCTGGCCTGCCTCTGGCTCCCAGCAGCCATTCCCAGTCTGCACTGAATGATGCTGGATCATGGCATACCTTGTCTTGAACCTCTCCTGTTAGGGAGAGATTTTCTTCCCATTAGGAAGGGATTGTTCCCTTGAGGGTGGGGAGGCCCTGGCACAGGGTGCCCAGAGAAGCTGTGGCTGCCCCTGGATCCCTGGAAGTGTCCAAGGCCAGGCTGGACGGGGCTTGGAGCAACCTGGGCAGGGGTGGGACTGGATGGGCTTTTAAGGTCACTCCCCACACAAACCCTTCCAAGATCCCAGCTCAGGTGTCCTTCCTTCCCTGCCTTTCACTTATGCACCAGAAGGGGACAAGTTCCCGAGTTTTCTAGTAGTTTTTACAGGGTCTTCATTAAACTTGCTGATCTACTTGTCAACATCCCTCCTCTCCTTGCAGCCCAGCCCAAGACTAAGAAGACCTTGGGCAAGAGTGGAGTGAAGAATGTTGTGGTGGTGGAGGGCGTCCGCATCCCGTTCCTGCAGTCCGGCACCTCGTGAGTAGCAAATGGGAGGAAAGGACTTAAAACACCCCCTTTCTGTGGAAAATCGGGCTGCCTGTTCTTTTTAGTGTGGTTATTCTTAGGCCTAAAGGCTCTGAAGGGCCAGTGGCTGAGGCTGCTGCAGTTACTGCAGCTCCTCTAATGCAAAAACGGGGCTTGGAGAAGGTTGTCCTTGTATATGAATTCTGGGAAGGACGAGGATTTAGGCAGAGTGTCCAGAGGAACCCGGTGAATCTGTAGCAGATAAAGCAGCAAGTTTCACCAGACTAGCAGGGCAGGTGCCAAGAATCTTCTGTAGACTCTTCTCACTGGATTGTTACACCACCAAATTCGCAGCTGAACTAAGACTGGGCCTGACCCTGGGTCAGGATGGAGAAGGGATTTATCCGGTCACTGCTCCTTTTTTAGTGGGTTTAGTGCAGGGATTGTGTGCTGAGCTGGACACAGAGAGTCTGCACAGCCTGGGGGGTGGGTCAGGACAATCCCAGCACAAACACAGCCTGGGCAGAGAATGGACTGGGAGCAGTGCTGGGGAGAAGGACTTGGGGGTGTTGGTGGACGAGAGGTTGGACAGGACCCATCCGTGTGCTCTGGCCCCAGAACGCCCCATGCCCTGGGCTGATCCCACAGTGTGGAGGGGGGGATCCTGCCCCTCTGCCCCCTCAGCTGAGACCCCCCTGCAGAGCTGCCTCCAGCCCTGGGCAACAGCAGCACAAGGACGTGGAGCTGCTGGAGAGAGTCCAGAGGAGGCCACGGAGATGCTGCCAGGGCTGGAGCCCCTCTGCCTGGAGCCAGGCTGGGAGAGCTGGGGGTGCTCAGCTGGGGAAGGGAAGGATCCAGGGAGACCTTGGAGCCCCTTCCAGAGCCTAAAGGGGCTCCAGGAGAGCTGGAGAGGGACTGGGGACAAGGCCTGGAGGGACAGGACACAGGGAATGGCTTCCATTGCCAGAGGGCAGGGAGAGATGGGAGATTGGGAAGGAATTCCTGGCTGTGAGGGTGGGGAGGCCCTGGCACAGGTTGGGCAGAGAAGTTGTGTCTGCCCCTGGATCCCTGGAAGTGTCCAAGGCCAGGTTGGACAGGGTTTGGAGCCACCTGGGCTGGTGGGAGGTGTCCCTGCCCATGGCAAGGGGTGGAACAGGATGAGCTTTGAGGTCCCTTCCCACCTAAATGAGTCTGTGAAATGCTTGATCAGAAAGGCAGGGGAGCATTTCTGGTGCCTGCCCAGCTCTCTGCTGCTGGGCTGGGCTCACAGCAGGACTCTGGGTTGGTCTCTGACACCTCTAAGTTTCTGCCTCTCCTTCCCCTCCCAGGTACGCGGATCTGATGCCACACGACCTGGCAAGGGCAGCACTGCAGTAAGTGAAGTGAACACTAGAAGGGCTCAGAAAACTTGTTCCACTGCTGGGGTTGCAGTGCTGGAAAGCCAAAGGCTCTGGTCTTGTCTGAATGACTTCACTATTCCCGTGCCACCCCCACAGTAGCAGATGGCTTAAGCACAGGGTTTTGCAACAGGGCTTGTCGTGGTGCAAAGAGGTGGTGGTGTTGACAAATTTTAGTGAATTTGGTTCCTAACTGCAGTTTTCCAAACACAGAGATCAGAACTGCTCTTGGGGTGTGCTTACAAGTGCTGGGAAAAACAGCCTGGGCTACGCAGAGGAAACTCAGTAGCAACAAGGACACTGAGCTGATTCTGTCACCCTGCCTGTCCCTCTCGTTCTGCAGGGATTTGACAGAAGCTGGAGGTCATTAGCACTGGGTTTGTTTTGCTGAGAGTCAGAGCAAAGTGCTGTGGCTGCCCCTGGATCCCTGGAAGTGTCCAAGGCCAGGTTGGACAGGGCTTGGAGCCACCTGGGCTGGTGGAAGGTGTCCCTGCCCACGGAAGGGGGTGGGACTGGATGAGTTTAAGGTCCCTTCCCACCCAGACCAGTCTGGGATTTGATGATTCCCTGAACCATTTCGGGGAAGGAGGAGGGTGTTTGGGCTGTAAAGTAGTTGCCTTCATGAACTTATGTCATGATTTGTAGTGATATTGTCACTGAGATTGTTTGCAGCCCACACTGAGTCACACTCTCAAAAGGGGGTTTGTTCTGAGCTGGGGGCAGAAGATGTGGCTCTGTCCTTGCCTCATTCTCCAGCCAAGCTGGCAGGAAGAGGATGTTTGAGAGGTTACTGAGTGATGTGATGCAAGTTCCCTTTGTTTTGATCCTCTCCTCAGGGGCCTGCTGACCCGCACCAGCGTCCCAAAGGATGTTGTGGATTACATTGTTTATGGCACAGTTATCCAGGAGGTGAAAACCAGTAATGTTGCCAGAGAGGTGGGTTATGTGCAGCATTTCCCTGCGAGTCTGATTCTGCAACTAGTCTGAAGATGGCAAATACTTGCTAAAAATTGAATTCTTTGCATTACGGTTCATTTAAAGGTGATTTCAGTCTGAAGTGGTTGTGCAGTATTGTCTGTTAAACAACTGCATGGGATTATAAGGAAAATTATTCTGTGATTCTCTGACTCTGCCTCCTGTTGAAATCTGCCATAGTTTTCCTTTATTGTAGTTTTTTTATCATGTTTTCCTAGTTCATTTTGATGCTGCGAGGCCTCTGCTCGATTCTCCCCAGCAAGGGAAGCTTTTGTTAAGAGCTGCTGATCACTCAGCTCTTAAGCACCAGCGTGACTGGAATGCTGCCTTGCCCAAAGTCCTCAGAGTGTGCTGTGAGAGTTTGCTTTGTTGTGGTGTTTGTTCTTTCAGTTGGCAGATCAGACACAGGGTTGGGGTGACTGGAACCGGAGCGGCTTCGCTGCCCTTTGTTCCCGTGTTACCCACAGAGCAGCTGATCCCCCAGGGCCTGTGCCAGAGGCAGCACCGTGGTCTGTGCTCACCTGGAGCCTGTGCTGCTGTTCTGTGCTCCTGGATGAGCCCAGGATGGAGCCTGGGCTGGAAGGGCTCGGGAGGTGCCGAGGCAGCTTCGGCCTCGTGAATGCAAATCCCGGCTTTGGTCGCCCGCCAGTCAGATGGGGCTGGAGGGTAATTTTAGCCGGGGAACAAGCGCTGAACTTTCAACCAGTTGGCTGTGCCCCAAGTAGGGAAGGTGTCTGGGAGCAGCTGTGGGCTGGTCAGATGAGTCACTGCTCTCTGCACTGTGGTTTTCTGCTCCCTGTGAAGCCACAGCACCTCGTGCTGAGCCGTCTAAATCAGCCCTTCCACATGTTTCCTTTGCCAGTGAGGTGAAGCAGAGGTGATGTCCAGTAGTTGGAGGCTCTTTTAATGTGGTTTTTTTTTTTTTTTTAAATGTGAGGTGTGTGGTTAGCTTGTCCCTTTATTAAAAAAATGTGGAGGGGCAGTGACTGTTCTCACAGTGCAGCTGAGCCCTGGCACTGCCTCTGCTCCTGTTCCAGCCTGGGGACGGGATGAGCTGCTGCAGTAATGAATGAAAACTCGATGGGGCTGTTTTCAGCTTCCCCTGGCAAGGTGTGCTGCTGGGCAGGAGGCAGCTCTGGCCCGTGGAGCAGAAGCTGTGGATTTAACAGACACTCTTTGCTGTCTCAGGCTGCCTTGGGAGCGGGTTTCTCCGACAAAACTCCGGCCCACACCGTCACCATGGCCTGCATTTCCTCCAACCAGGCGATGACCACGGGTACGTGGGCTGGGGGAACGAGCCGTGGGGTTGAGAAAGAGGCTGTAGAGGAATTTCCCAAGCTCTGACTTGCACTGCTTTTGAATATAAAAACTGCTGGAATGGAGGGAAAGAAGGGGCTGTTTAGCCTGGAGCAAAGGAGGCTCAGGGGGGACCTTCTGGCTCTGCAACCCCCTGACAGGAGGGGGGAGCCGGGGGAAATTGGGCTCTGCTCCCAGGGAACAAGGGACAGGAGGAGAGGGAACGGCCTCCAGCTGTGCCAGGGGAGGCTCAGGTTGGACAGGAGGAGGAATTTCCTGCTGGAAAGGGTGGTCAGGCCCTGGCAGGGGCTGCCCAGGGAGGTTTGGAGTGCCCAGCCCTGGAGGTGTCTCAGGAAGGCCTGGCCGTGGCACTCAGTGCTCTGGGCTGGGGACAAGGTGGGGATGGGGCACAGGGGGGAACTCCCTGATCTTGGGGACCTTTTCCAACCCCAGTGATCCTGGGATTCTGTCAAAGTACAGTGTGAATTGTTCTCCCCCACTGCTGGGTGTGACAGAGAGCAGGGCAGGCCGAGCTGCAGGGCTGCTGGGATCACAAAGTGCCTGCTCAGCACGTGCTGCACAACCCAGCCAGGGAAGGGACCGGAGTGCAGTGGTGTCCGAGGCTCTGGGGGTGAGGGTCCCTGCTCCCTGCAGCTCTCCCAGGAACCCCTCTCACCCCCCAGGCGTGGGGCTGATCGCGGCCGGGCAGTGCGACGTGGTGGTGGCCGGAGGGGTGGAGCTCATGTCGGACGTTCCCATCCGGCACAGCAGGAAGATGAGGAAGACGATGCTCACCCTGAACAGGGCCAAGACCTTGGGCCAGAAGCTCTCCCTGATTTCCAAAATTCGCCCTGACTACTTCGCTCCCGAGGTATTTTTTTATTTCTTCTTTTTTTTTTTTTTTTTTGTCTTTTTTTCGGGCGTTTAGATATTTGGCTGAACTGTTTTAGGGGAAGGTGTGAACCAAGGTGTGGCTCAGGCAGTTTTTTTAGCCTCAGTGGAGAGGATTTAAGAAGGGTGAGGTGTCTGGGGGTCACTGTGATCCTTCTCTGTCCCCTGCTTTGGGTTAAATTGATTAATGCACCTCACAGCATTTGGGACTCTGCTTTTTCTTCTCACGCGTTCAGCTTCAGAAAACCCAACTTAGTGTAAAAACCTCCCTCTCCTTCTGCAACTCCTGGACAAACTGTGCTGAAGATGACAGAAAAGAGAAGGTTTTTTTCCATAAAGCTTATTCAAGGATCCTAAAGCATCAGAAGAATTCTGGGGTCAGAAGAATTTTCCTAGATAACGGAAGTAACCGCCTTAATATTGGAGGGGAATATCCTCAGTGTATGAATGTGAGATCCCAAATCCACCCAGGATATGAAAATCACATCCTTAAACGCACGTAGGGATTTCCTGTGTGCTGCTGGAAGAGTTGAAACTAAAAAAACTAAACCCTCTTGGCTCTGGTTTGGGATGAGGAGGTGCCTCACGAGGAGTTTTAAGGTCCCAGGGTGTGTTGTTTCAGCTGAGCCCAAAAGGTCTGCTCCCCTTTGGTCGTGGATTCCCTGTTGAGCCGCGCCCTCTGCTTGCCCAGCTGCTGCACAGTGAGCAGTGAGCAGCAGCCTGGACCTCGTTTTTTCCCTAAAATCTTGGAGAGTGCTGGTTCCTCTGACACATTTGTCCCGGTCGCTCCTGGTCTGGTCGTCGTGCGTTCCTTGCGTAGCTCTGAACTAACAGGGAGAAAGTAAAGCCACTCCTGAGCTCTGGGTGCTGCCCGGGGGTGGTTTTGGCCGTGCTGACCTTGCCTCCCCGGCTGCAGCTCCCGGCCGTGGCCGAGTTCTCCACCAGTGAGACCATGGGGCACTCTGCCGACCGCCTGGCCGCCGCCTTCGGCGTGTCCCGCCTGGAGCAGGACGAGTACGCCCTGCGCTCCCACACGCTGGCCAAGAAGGCCCAGGACGAGGGGCTGCTGCTGGACGTGGTGCCCTTCAAAGTGCCAGGTAAGAGTGCAGGTGTTCCACTGCCGGGGGGGCACACCCATGGAGCTCTGGGGGGGATTTATTTTATTTAGGACTGTCCCTGGAAAACCGCGGGCAGAGCGGCGGGTTTGGGAACGGGAGTGTCTGGGTATGGAAGCACAGGATCCCAGACTGGTTTGCATTGGAAGGGACCTTAAAGCCCATCCAGTGCCACCCCCTGCCATGGGCAGGGACACCTCCCACCAGCCCAGGTTGCTCCAAGCCCCGTCCAGCCTGGCCTTGGACACTCCCAGGGGTCCAGGGGCAGCCACAGCTCCTCTGGGCAGCCTGTGCCAGGGCCTCCCCACCCTCACAGGGAGGAATTTCTTCCCAATCTCCCATCCAACCCTGCCCCCTGTCATATTTTTACATGCCTAACTTTTGTCTTGCCCACCCCATACCTGAGCTGACGTGGTGACAGAGCAAGGAAAGGCAGGTTGGTTGGGCCAGGAATCCCCCTGCTCCTCCAGCCAGGCAAGAGAACCCACCTTCACTCCCCAGAGTATTAATGTGTCAATACTGAATATTAACAACAGGCAGAAAGCCTTATAAAATCCTGGTCTGGTGACTCAGGGGCTGGGTAGGAAGGGCTGGAATGTGGCAGGCTCCAGCTCACCAGGCCTCACACTCACTGCTGGGAGGTGAAACAGTCTGGGGAGAGTATTTAAACTGTCCTTTCCATGGCCTTTCCTGGAGTCTCCCTCATCCCCAGCCCATGTGGGCACACTGTGGTGCAATACAGTTAATATCCTGGAAGATTTTCCATGTAGATCCACAGTTCCGTGTGCTCTTCATTGTAAAATTGGTCCTTTTTGTTAACAGGTTTATTTAGCAGTTGGCACAGTCGAAGATGGATATGTTTGGTTCTTCCCAGAGCTCTTAATTCCTCAAAACTCAGCATATGAACATGAACTGATTTAGGCCCAGTTCTCCATTTAGGCTTTTTTAACCTAAATTTAGGTTCTTTTATCAACTGTGGTAGTTCTGCCTTGCAGTAAATAATTTCAGCACTTTGTTTTTGCTGTCTTCAGAGAAAAAGTGAGCTACCTTCAGTTTTAAAGTGCTGTTTTTAGCCACATTAAATATCCTGATGCCACAAATGGATTTTCCCTTTTTTCCTCTTCCCGCTTGTCATAAAAAGCACGATTTTCTAATTACTTTTTTTTCCCCCTTGGGAATCCTGATGTGAAAATTCAGGTATATTTCAAGATTTTGATAGTTTAAAGTGCTTTTTGCCCTCGACAGGCAAAGACACAGTCACCAAGGACAACGGGATCCGGCCCTCCTCCATGGAGCAGATGGGGAAGCTGAAGCCGGCGTTTGTCAAGCCCTATGGAACTGTGACAGCAGCCAACTCCTCCTTCCTGGTAATAATTCCTGTTCCCATCACTGCCAGCCAGAGGGCAACACTGTCCACTCCATCCTCCCATAGGCAGGTAGCTCAAGCTGGTAAAACCTGGGGATGAGCATTCCCCTTTTTGTGTCCCTGCTTCCAGATTTGCCAAGCACGACTCGGAGCTCGGTTATAAGCTGGTGAACCTGGGGACTGGATTGTTTCATTCTGAAATCAGTAACTGAACCCCTGAAGCCTGGGGTTCTCTTAACCTGTTTGCTCTTCTGTAGCTGCCTTGTGAGGGTTTGTCCTTCTCAGGCACACGCAGGAATTCTGTCCCGGGATGGGACGGATGATGTGATACTTCTAGAGGGCAGCAGCTTCAGTCTGAACTTCATGGGAGCCCAGAATGGTTTGGGTTGGGAGGGACATGAGAGATCATCCAGTCCCACCCCTGCCATGGGCAGGGACACCTCCCACCAGCCCAGGTTGCTCCAAGCCCCGTCCAGCCTGGCCTTGGACACTTCCAGGGATCCAGGGGCAGCCACAGCTTCTCTGGGCACCCTGTGCCAGGGCCTCCTTGCCCACCCCCCCAGGGAAGGATTCCTTCCCCATATCCCACCTCTCCCTGCCCTCTGGCAGTGGGAAGCCCTTCCCTGTGTCCTGCTGGGCCCGCTGTGTGCAGGGGGTGCTGCTCCCTCGGCCCTGACCCGGCTTCTCCCGCCTGTCCCAGACGGACGGAGCGTCGGCGATCCTGCTCATGTCCGAGGAGAAGGCCCTGGCCATGGGCTACAAACCCAAGGCCTACCTGAGGTAAGAGGGGCTGCTCCACGTGGCCTCTGCAACCTGCCCTGGCTCCCTGCTCTGGCTCCCTGCCCTGGCTCCCTGCTCCCCTCCCTGTCCCTGACAGCCTTTCTCCCGCGCAGGGACTTCGTGTACGTGTCCCAGGATCCCAAGGACCAGCTGCTGCTGGGGTAGGTGGTGCTGGGGACCACTGTGAGGTGTCCCATCAGACACTGCGTCCCCTCAGGCCTTCCCACCCTGCTGGTGTGTGAGCAGGAGGGGAGGAGGGGGAGCAGCTGGGGCAGGAACCCCCACCCAGGGTTGGAGGGGGCACCTCGGCACCCCGGGAGTGATGAGGGTGATGTCCCAGTGGGAGTGGGATGGGCAGAGCTGTGCCACGGACCCTGCAGAGAGGGGATGTCACTGTGGCTGTGCCAGGGGGGCAGAGCTGGACCCTGCAGAAAAGGGATGTCACTGTGGCTGTGGTGGAGGGGCAGAGCTGTGCCATGAACCCTGCAGAGGAGGAATGTCACTGTGCCAGGGGGGCAGAGCTGTGCCATGGACCCTGCAGAGAGGGGATGTCACTGTGGCTGTGATGGGGGGGCAGAGCTGTGCCATGGACCCTGCAGAGAGGGGATGTCACTGTGGCTGTGATGGGGGGGCAGAGCTGTGCCATGGACCCTGCAGAGAGGGGATGTCACTGTGGCTGTGCCAGGGGGCAGAGCTGGACCCTGCAGAGAGGGGATGTCACTGTGGCTGTGATGGGGGGGCAGAGCTGTGCCATGGACCCTGCAGAGAGGGGATGTCACTGTGGCTGTGGTGGGGGGGCAGAGCTGTGCCATGGACCCTGCAGAGAGGGGATGTCACTGTGACAGGGGTCAGAGCTGTGCCATGAACCCTGCAGAAAAGGGATGTCACTGTGGCTGTGACAGGGGCAGAGCTGTGCCATGGACCCTGCAGAGAGGGGATGTCACTGTGGCTGTGACAGGGGCAGAGCTGGACCCTGCAGAAAAGGGATGTCACTGTGGCTGTGCCAGGGGGGCAGTGCCATGAGGAGACATTCAGGCAAGGCTTGTGTGTGCTCCCTGTCCTCCAGCCCAACATATGCCACCCCCAAAGTGCTGGAGAAGGCCGGGCTCACCCTGAACGACATCGACGTGTTCGAGTTCCACGAGGCCTTTGCTGTAAGTGCTCTGAGTCTGGAATTCCATCCCGTGGACATCTGCTGGCAGGGGGGGAAAGCTCTTGTTGAGACCTCACTCGAATGTCACCAGGAGTGATCCCACATTTCTAACAGAAGCATTGTGTGTGTTTTAACTCTGGAACATTTTTATATGGACACAGCCCGTGTTAAGAGTGGCTTGTGTTGCTTGAAGTCACCAAAGGAATGCAGATCCTTCTAAAACAACGTGTAAAAAAAGGCATTTTACTTTCCCAAGACCTTTTGGGGAAAAAACCACTTCTGCACGTCATCTGCTGACGGGGCTGGGATACAGAATCATGGAAAGGTTTGGGTGGGGAGGGACCTTAAAGCTCACACAGTTCCCACCCCCTGCCATGGGCAGGGACACCTTCCACTATCCCAGGTAGCTCCAAGCCCCGTCCAGCCTGGCCTTGGACACTTCCAGGGATCCAGGGGCAGCCACAGCTTCTCTGGGCAGCCTGTGCCAGGGCCTCCCCACCCTCCCAGCCAGGAATTCCTTCCCAATATCCCCTCTGTCCCTGCCCTCTGTCAGTGTGAAGCCCTTCCCCTGTGTTCTGTCACTCCAGGCTCTGGTGAATAGTCCCTCTCCACCTTTCCTGTCGGCTCCTTCAGGCACTGGAAGGCCACAGTTCAGTCTCCCAAGAGCCTTCTCTTCTCCAGGCTGGACAGTCCCAGTTCTCTCACCTTTCCTCACTGCAGAGGGGCTCCATCCCCCTGACCACCTTGCTGGCCCCCTCTGGCCAGTGTGTTGCCGTATTTGTTAATTGGCTTGTTAATTGGCCAGGCTGTGTTCCCAGTGACTCTTGAGCTGATATTTATTAGCAGGGCTGATCCTGTAAAGTATTTTTAGCTGGCTGTGCTCGTTTGGTGGCTGTAGCTCCTCTCAGGTGCTGTCACTGGCTGTAGGCTGCCCCCAAAGTCTGACATTGTCCTTGTTAACATCACCCTCCCTTCCCTTGCAGGGCCAGATCCTGGCTAACCTGAAGGCCATGGATTCAGACTGGTTTGCACAGAACTACATGGGCAGGAAGTCGAAGGTAAGGCTCAGTCAGGACATTGTCACAGTCCCAGAATGGTTTGGGCCAAGGCCTGTCCAGCCTGGCCTTGGACACTCCCAGGGATCCAGGGGCAGCCACAGCTTCTCTGGGCAACCTGGGCCAGGGCCTGCCCACCCTCACAGCCAGGAATTCCTTCCTAATCTCCCATCTGTCCCTGCCCTCTGGCACTGGGAAGCCATTCCCTGTGTCCTGTCCCTCCAGGCCTTGTCCCCAGTCCCTCTCCAGCTCTCCTGGAGCCCCTTTAGGCTCTGGAAGGGGCTCCAAGGTCTCCCTGGATCCTTCCCTTCCCCAGCTGAGCCCCCCCAGCTCTCCCAGCCTGGCTCCAGAGCAGAGGGGCTCCAGCCCTGGCAGCATCTCTGGGGTCTCCTGTGGATCCACTTTTCTCTCCAGCTCAGTTTAACTGTGGGATGACTGGAATCCCTCCTGGCACTGCCCAGCCGGGCTCTGGCTCTGTCCTGTGAGGAGCAGTGACGTTCCCTGAGCTCTGGGTTAGCAAATCCCAACGTGGGCAGTTTCTCTGGGATTAGGTCGAGGGATCCCCTCCCAGCCCGGTGACGAGTGTCCCTCTGTGTCCCCTCAGGTGGGGGCCCCTCCCCTGGACAAGTTCAACACCTGGGGGGGGTCCCTGTCGCTGGGACACCCCTTCGGGGCCACCGGCTGCCGCCTGGTCATCACTGCTGCCCACAGGCTGAAGAAGGAGGGGGGTCAGTTCGGCCTGGTGGCCGCCTGTGCCGCGGGGGGACAGGTAATGGTGAGGGGACAGGTAATGGTGGGGGACAGGTAATGGTGGGGGGACAGGTAATGGTGGGGGGACAGGTAATGGTGAGGGGACAGGTAATGGTGGGGGACAGGTAATGGTGGGGGGACAGGTAATGGTGGGGGGACAGGTAATGGTGGGGGGACAGGTAATGGTGCTGTGCTGGGGCACTGATCCCATGGGAGAGGGGTGGGGATTGCGGGGCTGGTCCTGCCGGGGCTGTGGAATCCGGGGCTGTGGAATCCGGGGCTGTGGAATCCGGGGCTGTGGAATCCTCTCCGGTGACAGCAGCGGTGGGCACGGGGTGGTCACAACTCCCTGGGCACGTCTGGGTGCCCCCCGTCAGCACTCAGGGCTGTCCCTTGTTCCCTGGGAGCAGAGCCCGACCACCCACCCCGGCTCCTCCGTCCTGTCAGGGGGTTGCAGAGCCAGAAGGTCCCCCCTGAGCCTCCTTTTCTCCAGGCTGAGCCCCCCCAGCTCCCTCAGCCCCTCCTGCTGCTCCAGCCCCTTCCCAGCTCCCTTCCCCTCCCTGCCCACGCTCCAGCCCCTCCCTGTGTCTCCTGTGTGAGGTCCCAGAGCTGCCCCAGCACTGGAGGTGCCCCAGCAGTGCCAGCACAGGGAGGGCACTGCCCTGGCCCTGCTGCCCCAGCAGTGCTGGCACAGCCCCGGGGCCACTGGCCTCCTGCCCCCCTGGGCACACCCGGGATCGTGTCCAGCCTGTGACTCACCTTCCCGGTGCTGTGGCTGGGAGTCCTGGGCCGTGTCTGTAATGATGAGCCTTTTCTCTCATCATCAGTCACTCCTGTGACGTTCTCCCCCTCTCTCCCCTTGCAGGGCCACGCGATGATCGTGGAGCTTTACCCCCAGTAAAGCAGTGCCCGTCCGTCCCGTGCCCGGCGATGCCACCTCAATGCACTAACAAATCCTACACCCCCTCCTCCTCCGAGGGGGGCTTTGTGGCCTTTATCAATCCCTTTTAGCTGCTCAGCCAGCGATTTGTATCTGATGAACACGCTCTATTCCACTGCCAGCAGAGGAACAGCCAACGTGGCTCGGAGTCTCCGCAGGCTCCTCGTAACCTGTCTGCTCCCTCTGGGAACTCCTCAGGATTTCTCCCAGTGGGGAACAAAAATGATTGCAAAGCTCTGTGCAGAGAACTAAGTTTGGAGACAGGGAGAACGTGAAGCACTGGCGGTGGGTGGGCTGAGGGGGGTGAATGCCGTGGGCAGGAGCAGCTCTTTGGGGCAGGGGGGTCAGTCCCAGGGGCTGAGCTGGGCTCTGAGGGGGCAGTTTTGCTGCACGATGTCCAAAGGCTGCTGGAATGAGCAAATTGCATCTGACAAATGAATGTCACCGATGTAACAACCACAATAAATCAGGACAGAACACACGGAATGGCTGTTTTCTTTCCCTCCCCTCCCCTGAAATGCCTTGAGGATTGTTCCTGTGGCGTTTGTGGTGGAACTGCCACCAGGTGTTTGCTCTTCAAAATCATGGAATCACACCCTGGTTTGGGCTGGAAGGGACTTTTAAAGGTCATCTAATCCACCCCTGAGCCCTTTTTATGACAGAAACAGTTTCTTCCACCCACCAGCTGCTGCCCAGCCCTGACCTGGAGGCTCAGCTGAGGTAAGGGACAGATGTGACAGATTCCTCTTTATTCCTGCTGCCCCTCTGTGACTCTGCCCGCCGGTTTGCTCCTCAGGAAGTGTTTAAGGATGTCCTTAGGTCACGCAGAAAGGAAATCAGAAATGCAGAAGCTCAATTAGAACTTAATCTGGCCACTTCCGTAAAGGGTAATAAAAATGTTTTTGTAAATACATCAATAACAAAAGGTGGGGAAGGGGAAACCTCCGTTCCCTGTCGGACGCGGGGGAGTGTAGGGACCAAAGCTCGACTCCCGGGGCAGGATTTCCTCAGCGTTCCCGCAGCCCCGGCTCTCACCAGCACTGGGATTCGCTGACCCGGACACAGCGAGTCCAAAGGGACTCCGCGTGTCCCGCCACTGGCTCCAGTAAATCCTCCTCTCGCCCGGCAGAGGGGGCCGAGTCCTCGTTCGATGGTTCCAAAATAAAGAGATTAACTTACAGAGTACTTTCGTCCTGTAACTGTGCGGGGTCCAAACGGAGGGCGGGAGCAGCCCAGGAAAGTGGGAGCAGCCCGGGAAGGTGGAAGAAGGCCGGGAGGGAAGGGGGGGGAACCCGGGAGAGAGGGAGGAGTGTCGGGAGGGGGGTGGGAGCAGCCCCGAAAGGTGGGAGCAACCCCGGGAAGGTCAGGGCAGTCCCGGGAGAGTGGGAACAGCCCCGGAGGGAGAGGGCAGCCCCGGGAAGGTGGGAGTAACCTCGAGAAGGTGGGAGCAGCCCCGGGAAGGTGGGAGCAGCCCCGGGAAGGTGGGACCAGCCGTGGGAGGGCGGGACTAGCCCCGGGAAGGAAAGTGCAGTCTCGGCAGAGTGAAAGCAGCCCCGGGAAGGTAAGTGCAGTCCTGGGAGGGCGGGAGCGGCCCGGGAAGGTGGGAGTAACCCGGGAGGGTGGAAGAGCAGTCCCAGGAAAGTGGGAGCAGTCGTTAGGGGAGCGGGAGCAGCCCGGGATGGTGGAACCAGCCGCGGGAAGGTGGGAGCGAAGCCCGCGGTGCCGGCGCCCGGTGCGCTCCGAAACCTATTGTCGGTGAGAATCCCTTAATTCCATTACACCTCCCGCAGCAATCCGCTTAGGGGAAGCCGTGGAGCGGCTGAGAAAGGACGGGGCACCGCTTAAACACACCTTGGCTTTATCCCGGGGGGAGAGAGCGCGGCGCAGGGCACGGGCACAGCCGCGGGGCTCTCGGGTCCTGCCCAAGGCTCTGCCAACCCGGCTGGAGCCGCCTCCGCCGCTCCCGGGACAGCTTCACCCGGGATCCCTGTCCCCGCTGCCACCCCGGGTCACACGGGCTGCTCTGACGTTCCCCAGCCCGGCTGGGGCTGCTCCCAGTCCTGCAAAGATGCTGCCAGGGCTGGAGCCCCTCTGCTCTGGAGCCAGGCTGGGAGAGCTGGGGGGGCTCAGCTGGGGAAGGGAAGGCTCCAGGGAGACCTTGGAGCCCCTTCCAGAGCCTAAAGGGGCTCCAGGAGAGCTGGAGAGGGACTGGGGACAAGGCCTGGAGGGACAGGACAAGGGGAAAGGCCAGGTTGGAGCAACCTGAGCTAGTGGAAGGTGTCCCTGCCCATGGAATGAGATGGTCTTTAAGGTCCCTTCCCCCCCCCCGACCACCCTGTCATTGTAGGAATCCACCTGTACCCGCTGCCCTCCAGCCCCTTCCCTGCTGCACCTCCACCCTCAGCACGTTCAGCAGAAAGGAAAGACAAAAACCCGTAAAAGGCGTGGAAAATTTTATTCTTTACTGATCTTTAATAGTTTTTTCGTTTGGTTCAAACACAATAAATATTTCAGTAATAGCATCGAACGGACCGGACTCCACACCCACGGCAGTACCTGAACCCCCGGAGCCGGGGCTCGGGGAGAGCCATCAGGGCTCTGCCAGGGGACAGGGACAGCGTCCACTCCGGGGGACAGGGGCAGGGCAGTGTCCCTGCTGGGAGACGGGGAGGGAGGGGGGTGGATTTTGAAGTGTCCAGCCTGGAGCACGGCCCCAGCTCTGACCGGATGAACGACACTGGGAGGGTGAGCAGCGAATTCCTGAGAACCTGGGGCAGGGACGCCCCGGCCACTCCCCTGGAGACCAGCCCAGAGACCTCCCAAGGCAGGTCTGACCACACCCGGGTGGGCCAAAGGGTCCTCTACACACCAGCAGTGACCCTTTTCCACAAGCAAAGAGCTCCCATTGTCATCACCGATAATTTGGGTTGGAAAAACCCTCAGAGTCCATCGAGCCCAACTACTCCCCCAGCCCTGCCCAGGCCACCCCTCACCCGTGTCCCCAAGGGCCACCTCCACGGGGCTTTTAAATCCCTGCAGGGATGGGGACTCCCCCCTGCCCTGGGGAGCTGTGCCAGGGCTGCACAGCCCCTTCCAGGAAGGAATTGTTCCCAATATCCAACCCGACCCTCTCCTGGCACAGCTGGAGGCCGTTCCCTCTTGTCCTCTCCCTGTCCCACCAAGAGCAGCCTCGGTGTCACCTCAGGCCCTGCTCTGACACAGCCCAGGTGCCAAAGGCAGGAGCAGCCAAGGCTGGTTTCCCAAAAGCACTGCTTCCCTAGGGATTGTCCACGTCTATCCCAAGCAGGCTTGGAGGAGAAGAGTTTAGGGGCCTCCCAGAGCTGACCCGAGATCAGGACAGCTCCGAGTCCCTGCGGCAGGTCCTCGATGTGCCAGGAGGTGACATCAGCCCTGCTGAAGGAGCTGGAAGGTGCTCCCAGAGCCTCAGGAGCTCCCGCTCCCAGCGCTGCTCCCGGCTCTGGCAGAGCCCCTGGCTCAGGTGCCTGACGTTTGTGAGAAGAGGCGGCTGCCAAGTCCCATCCAGGGGCTCCAGGAGAGCTGGAGAGGGACTGGGGACAAGGGATGGAGGGACAGGACACAGGGAATGGCTTCCCACTGCCAGAGGGCAGGGAGAGATGGGAGATTGGGAAGGGATTCTGGGCTATGAGGGTGGGGAGGCCCTGGCCCAGGTTGGGCAGAGAAGCTGTGGCTGCCCCTGGATCCCTGGAAGCGTCCAAGGCTTGGAGCAACCTGAACTAACATTATCCCTGGAGGACCAGACAGCACAGGTCAGCTGAGGAGTTGAGGAGCCAGGACAGGTGCCCTCCATCCCCAGGAGCACATCCCTTGGGGAGGACAGAGCCCAGCCAGTGACCTCCCCCCTGGGACATCCCCCTCAGGAGCTGTTACCCAGGAACACGTTTATCCTTCAGACCCAACACCAGAGCGATGGATAAATGGGTTGTTCCTCAGCTGCCACACCCCACCCTGCCCACGGGCTTTGCTCTCTGTTCGTTTCCATTCCCCTCTCAGGATCCAGGGGCAGAAATCACTGGATTTCCACCAGGCCAAGGAGAACTCCCCCTCCTCAGCAGCACAGATCACTGAGGTGGGCTCTGCTCCCTCCCTGCTCTGGTGGCACCAGGGACAAACAGCCCAACCCAGCACTGATTTAAGGAGACTTTTTTTTTTAGTGTCAAGGTGCAATCAATTAAGGCACCAAAAGGCCAGGACTGCCCAGAGACAAAGCCTGTGCAGAGGAAGCAGTTCCAGCTCGGGAGAGAGATGTTTCTCCTACACACTGAGGTTTGAGCTCAGACAACTCCTCCCAGCACCAGCAGCATCCCAGTCCTGCGGGCCCAGCCATGCCCGTGGGAAGAGCCAGGACCAGGCAAGGGCCGGGTTTGGGAGCCCAGAGGGAACAGCTCAGTCCTCCCCTGGCCCTGCAAACACACAACTAAACAGGAAACCATCCAACCCCCACGCTCTGCCATCCAACCGTGTCCCAGGGAAGTGTGTCCCAGTTTAAGGTTCCCTCCGATTCCCGGGCGAGCGGCACTGAAATTTATCTCCATAATTATGTTTCAGTGAACAACATTAAACAGCCAGAAACTCAAGTGCAGCCTGGTTCATTTGCCCACCGAGGGTTTTTTTTTTTTTTTTCTCTGTACAACATCAGTAAAAGGGATGGGAGGAAGGGACTTTATATTAAATAAACTCTGAAAACCACCCGCCCCCTTTCCCGGCCACGTCGCAGCCACATGGACACGTGAGCACACGGACAGCCAGAGCCTCCCATGGACATCCAGAGCCTCCCACGGACATCCAGAGCCTCCCACGATGGGTGGCAGCCCTGGGGAAGGTACCTGTTCATTCTCAGCCCTGGGGGAGGTACCTGTTTGTTCCTCAGCCCTCAGCAGGTACCTGCTCACTCCTCAGCCCAGGGAGGAGGTACCTGTTCATTCTCAGCCCTGGGGGAGGTACCTGTTTGTTCCTCAGCCCTCAGCAGGTACCTGCTCACTCCTCAGCCCAGGGAGGAGGTACCTGTTCATTCTCAGCCCTGGGGGAGGTACCTGTCTGTTCCTCAGCCCTGGAGGAGGTACCTGTTCATTCTCAGCCCTGGGGGAGGTACCTGTTCATTCTCAGCCCAGGGGGAGGTACCTGTTTGTTCCTCAGCCCTCAGCAGGTACCTGCTCACTCCTCAGCCCAGGGGGAGTCACCTGTTCATTCTCAGCCCAGGGGGAGGTACCTGTTCATTCTCAGCCCTGAGGAGGTACCTGCCCACTCCTCAGCCCTGGAGGAGGTACCTGCTCACTCCTCAGCCCAGGGAGGAGGTACCTGTCTGTTCCTCAGCCCTGGGGGAGGTACCTGCTCACTGCTCAGCCCTGGGGGAGGTACCTGCTCATTCCTCAGCCCTCAGGAGGTACCTGCTCACTCCTCAGCCCAGGGAGGTACCTGTTCATCCCTCAGCCTGGGGGAGGTACCTGTTCACTCCTCAGCCCCGGGGAAGGTACCTGTCCATTCTCAGCCCAGAGGGAGGTACCTGTTCATCCCTCAACCCAGGGGGAGGTACCTGTTCATTCTCAACCCAGGGGGAGGTACCTGTTCATCCCTCAGCCCAGGGGGAGGTACCTGTTCATTCTCAGCCCTGGGGGAGGTACCTGTTTGTTCCTCAGCCCAGGGGGAGGTACCTGCTCATTCCTCAGCCCAGGGGGAGGTACCTGTTTGTTCCTCAGCCCTCAGGAGGTACCTGCTCACTGCTCAGCCCTGGGGGAGGTACCTGTTTGTTCCTCAGCCCAGGGGGAGGTACCTGTTCATTCTCAGCCCTGGGAGAGGCACCTGTTCATTCTCAGCCCGGGGGGAGGTACCTGTCTGTTCCTCAGCCCTGGGGGAGGTACCTGCTCATTCCTCAGCCCTCAGGAGGTACCTGCTCACTCCTCAGCCCAGGGAGGTACCTGTTCATTCTCAGCCCTGGGGGAGGTACCTGTTCATTCTCAGCCCTCAGGAAGTACCTGCTCATTCCTCAGCCCTGGGGGAGGTACCTGTTCATCCCTCAGCCTGGGGGAGGTACCTGTTCATTCTCAGCCCTGGGGGAGGTACCTGTTCACTCCTCAGCCCCGGGGAAGGTACCTGTCCATTCTCAGCCCAGAGGGAGGTACCTGTTCATCCCTCAACCCAGGGGGAGGTACCTGTTCATTCTCAACCCAGGGGGAGGTACCTGTTCATTCTCAGCCCTGGGGGAGGTACCTGTTCATTCTCAGCCCAGGGGGAGGTACCTGTTCATTCTCAGCCCTGGGGGAGGTACCTGTTTGTTCCTCAGCCCTCAGGAGGTACCTGCTCATCCCTCAGCCCAGGGGGAGGTACCTGTTTGTTCCTCAGCCCTCAGGAGGTACCTGCTCACTCCTCAGCCCTGGGGGAGGCCCCAGTTGCTCCTCACAGGCCGCACCATGTGACCGTGGGCCGACCAAGGGGTGACCAAGTGGCCCCGAGTTGAGCCCCACGAACTCACGAGCTCAACCTCAGGGTTTCAAGTCTCGTCTCCTGCGTGACAGTGATTCCAATTTACAAAAGCAAACCCATCAGACAGCAGTTACTCGCTGCTGTAACTCACACGTTGGAGGTTTCCTAGAGCAGCAGGAGCCTCCTCCTGCAGAAGGAAAACGCCCTGACCAGGCTGTTGTGCCCCACGTTGCACAGTAATCAGAGTCTGAAGGACTTTGTTCCCATGGCAGTTACACCTGCACTATCTGCTGTGCTTGTTCGCTTCCGGATGCAGCCTTTCCAGAGCCTGGCTTTAAGCTACACTCTTCATTCAAGCACAGGTCTGCATTAAATCAAGCCAACAGGAAAAGAAAATCAGCATTCAGTCTTCACCACCCCACTCGAACTCAATCATAAACACAAATTAAAAAAGTCAGATCAACGCACACACGTCTTGGACAAGCGGACAGTAAACAAAGAGATCCCTGGATGAGACACGCGGCCGCTGGGGACGAGGAGACAGTGGGACTGGGGAGGGTTCCCACCACACCCTCCCCCCCAGTGAGGGCTCTGAAGGTGCACACACAACCAACACGAGGCTCCGGGTGCTTCTCCGGGCGGTGGAAGCGCTGGTGGGAAGGGCTGGGCTGTGCCTGGGAGTGGTGGCTCCGGCAGCCAAGGACCCGCAGAGCCCACCACAACAGCACAGCCCTGCTGGGAGGGAGGAAGACGTGGGAGCTCAGCCCTGTGGGCTCAGACACTTCCCGTGGCCACTGGGAGCCCAGACCCCATTCCTGGACTGGGAACACACACGGACAGGCAGGGATGTGGCTGAGATGTGGTCCCAGGCACCCACAGCTCGAGCAGGGCAGGCAGAAGCCACAGTCCCACTCTTACAGGAAACTGAGACCTAACTTTTTAAGCCCTCCCCCCCCCATCAGTCAGGATTTAACTACAAGTTTTGTGTGTGTCTGGGTTTTTTTTCCCCCCCCTCTTAAAAAAGGTGCAATATTTGCCCAAATGCAGGAAGGCAGGAGAGAACGTGGGAGAGCTGTCACCATGTGCCCCAGAGGTACCAGCCCAGGCCGAGGGTTGTCCAGCAGGGCTGGGGACAGCCAGGAACTCCCCCGACCACCAGGATGTTCCCCCGACCTGGGAGAAACGAGCCCCGTGTTGGTTTTGGTGACAGGCCCAGAGGGGCTTTGCTCAGGTAAAGCCTTTGCATCCCCGTCCAGCTTTACCTGAGCAAGAGCCGGCGTTGGACGTTTCCCTGGGAACATTCAGCTGGTCTCAGATACAGTAGCAGTGACCTGGAGGCTCCTCCTGCTCCAGCTCCAGGCGAAGCCCCTTTGCGGTGCCGGAGGAGGGTGGGAGTGTCCCCGGCGTGTCCCAGCCCTGGTGCCCGTCCAGGGGGAGGAGGCTGGGTCTGTGGGATGGCCGAAGTATTTACAGGGGTTTGCAGCAGGTATTTACAGTCCCTCTGCGGAGCGCAGGCCCACTCTCTCCTCCTCCAGCCCTAGTCAGTCCGGGGTGGGCTTCTTGAGGGAGAAGGGCCGGATGTTGAAGTGCCTGCTCAGCTGGCTCACCTGGGGACAGGGCACACACAGGAACGGGTTAGCCAGGCTGGCAGGGCCGAGGGGAGAGGGCAGAGAGCCAGACCTGCTCCCAGGAACATGTCCCTGCCACCCCCTGCACCCACCCTGCACGCTCCCCACGGATCTGTGTCCCTGGTGTCGGGGCTGGCCAGGCACTGGCTCCACAGGGAGCAGCCCTGCTGCCTTCCCACACCTCCCCAGAGAACAGCCTGGCCTCCCTGGAATCAGGCTCACTGCTGTTCCTGCCCTCCCGAGGGGCAGGGGTCAGGAATGCTGCCCTGAGCCCAGGCTTGCAGGAATGTCCCCCTCACATTTTACCCTGCTCCCTCTCTGCTCCTCCCAGCATTGCTTTCATTATTTTGCTGAAATTAATTTGATATCTCAGATTACTATATAAAAACCCATCCCTGGATCCATTCAAATTGGGGGCCGGGTACTTCCCGCGGAAGGAGGCTGAGCTGGGAACAGAGGGTTTGTTCCTAATCACCCCTCCCAAATTCGGAGCAGTTTGGGGTTATGCCCCAGTCAAAAAGCCTTTAAAGGCTCTTCAGCTCCAAGTGACTTTTATCCTGGAAGAAGGGACGGATGGGCCTCCAGAAATCTGGAGGGAGGGAAGGAGGGGAACAGTCTCTGGGAGGCTCCTGGGAGGGGATGGGCAAAGGTGGGCAGGAGGATTTCCCCACCCAGTCAGTCCCATCTCCAGCTGTGATTCCAAGACCAAACTTCTTTTAAGCTTCTTAGTTACACAAATCCTTCTTGCACAGGAGCCTCTTTCCCCTGACTGGAAAGACAGGACAACCTGGCTGTTATTCCTGGCTGGAACTACAGCTGGAACTCCACTCTGAGGCTCCACGTTGGAGCTGGACTTCCCAGGAGAAGGGGTTTCCCAAGGAGGGTGTCCCCAGCCTGGCAGGGGACACGGGGTTGCTTGTCCTCCTTCCTTGCCCTCAGCAGCTTCCTGGGGCATTCCTGATGGGACTTGGGTCTTCTACAAGTTTGTTTTCCCTCTTGATCAAAACTCAGGCAGAGCAAGAGGAGCAAATCCCTGGATCTCAGCCCTGACAGCAGGGGAGGTGGCCTTGCAGCTCCAGGGTTCCCTCTTTCCCTACCAGGGACATCCCCCCTCCATCCTGGCTCTCCCAGCACCTTGGAGACCTCACTGGGAGACCTCAGAGCTCCTTCCAGTGCCTGATGGGGCTCCAGGAGAGCTGGAAAAGAACTTTGGACAAGGGCTGGAGGGACAGGACACAGGGAATGGCTTCCCACTGCCAGAGGGCAGGGAGAGATGGGAGATGGGGAAGGAATTCCTGGCTGGGAGGGTGGGGAGGAGCTGGGCTGGAATTCCCAGAGAAGCTGTGGCTGCCCCTGGATCCCTGGAAGTGTCCAAGGCCAGGTTGGACGGGGCTTGGAGCAAGCTGGGCTGGTGGGAGGTGTCCCTGCCCATGGCAGGGGGTGGCACCGGATGACTTTAAGTTCCCTCCCAACCCAAACCATCCCGGCATTCCAGGGTTTGTTTCCAGCTCCCACGACACAGCCCCGGGGGTACAGCAGGTCTCAGACCCCCGCAACCCTGCAGGGATCCAGCCCACACTCCAGGCAGCCCCGGGCAGCTCCCCCGGGCCGTTCCCACCCGCACTCCCGCATTCCCCACCCCATTCCCCGCCCCGTCCGGCAGCGGAGCAGCGGCCCCAGGAGCCCACGTACCACGAGCACGCCGTAGTGGATGTGTGCCAGGGTGAGGAAGGCCGTCAGCAGGTAGAGCAGCAGCGTCTCGCTGTGGGCCGCCAGCCCCGAGGCGACGAGCAGCAGCGCGGCCGCGATGGGCAGCAGCATCCAGTGCAGGGGCCGGCACCGCGTGCTGCTCATCTGGCACACGATCAGCTGGCACTGGGGACAGGGCACGGCCTCAGCACGGGCTGGGGTCCGTGGGGCCCGGGGTGCTGTCCCCAGGGCACGGGGGGTGTCCCTGTGCTGGCACTGCTGGGGCACCTCCAGTGCTGGGGCAGCTCTGGGACCCTCACACAGGAGACACAGGGAGGGGCTGGAGCGTGGGCAGGGAAGGGAAGGGAGCTGGGAAGGGGCTGGAGCAGCAGGAATGTCTGAGGGAGCTGCGGGAGCTCATCCCAGAGAAAAGAGGGATCAGGAGGGACCTTTTCCTGCCCCACAACCCCCTGACAGGAGGGGGGAGCCGGGGGGGAATTGGGCTCTGCTGCCAGGGAACGAGGGACAGGAGGAGAGGGAACGGCCTCCAGCTGTGCCAGGGGAGGGGCAGGTGGGATATTGGGACAATTCCTTGATGGAAAGGGCTGCCCAGCCCTGGCACAGCTGCCCAGGGAGGTGGTGAAGCCCCATCCCCAGCGGGATTTAAAAGCCCTGTGGATGTGGCACTTGGGGACATGGCTCAGTGTGGATCAGCCTGGGCAGTGCTGGGGGATCGGCTTGACCTGATGATCTTAAAAGCCCTTCCCAGCCTCAAGGATTCTGCAAATCTATGAACATGCAGCTAGATCAGATTCTGACCAAAAAATCAGTCCCCGCCCTTTTACATTTACCCCCAAAAATGAAGCAGGAGCTCCCTTCCCATCAGCACTTTGCTGCTCACAGCACAGAGGGTGCACGAGCCTCTGAGAACACTCAATTTAACTAATTCTCCAGCTTCTCAAGCATAAAGCAAAGGCTGCTCACAGAGATGTTGGCAAAGGCTGTTCCAACCATGAAGTAGAAGAGCCTGGGCTGGACCTCCAGGATGTCAGAGGGGGACAGGAAGATCCACGTGGTGCAGAGCAGGAACAGCAGCACCGGGGACACGAGGGGCAGCAGGATCTCATACACAGAGTGGTGCTTCAAGGTGTTGCTTTTATAGGCCCTGGAACACGAGGAAAGAAACGAAAATACATGGAATCAATGGGAGATCCCTGGTCCTGCCTCCAGGAAATACCTGAGGGGGCTCCAGGAGAGCTGGAGAGGGACTGGGGACAAGGCCTGGAGGGACAGGACACAGGGAATGGATCCCACTGCCAGAGGGCAGGGAGAGATGGGAGATTGGGAAGGGATTCCTGGCTGGGAGGGTGGGGAGGGGCTGGCCTAGGTTGGCCAGAGAAGCTGTGTCTGCCCCTGGATCCCTGGGAGTGTCCAAGGCCAGGCTGGACGGGACTTGGAGCACCCTGGGCTGGTGGGAGGTGTCCCTGTCCACGGCAGGGGGTGGGACTGGATTCATTTAAGGTCCCTTCCCACCCAAACCACCCTGGGATCCCAAAAACTCACTTGTAGAAGTTGTACAGGCTCATGGGCAGCGTCACAGTGAGAGCACAGGCTGGAAGAGAACAGAGCCACGTCAGGGCCCTGGCAGAGGGTCCCTCACATGCCCCCTGCACGTGCAGCTGCCCAGGCCCTGCTTTGAGGGTCCCTCACGTCCCCCCTGCATGTGCAGCTGCCCAGGCCCTGCTTTGAGGGTCCCTCACGTGCCCCCTGCATGTGCAGCTGCCCAGGCCCTGCTTTGAGGGTCCCTCACGTCCCCCCTGCATGTGCAGCTGCCCAGGCCCTGCTTTGAGGGTCCCTCATGTGCCCCCTGCACGTGCAGCTGCCCAGGCCCTGCTTTGAGGGCCTTGCAACAAAAAACAGCCCCGAGGGCACCCCTGGAGCGGCTCAGCACGTTCAGAAGTAGGTGCTCCTACCTCTGCTCCAAGGGCTGTAATTAAAACTGAGGTCTGCTATAAATTAAAGACATTTCCATTTGAAAGAGCTGCATTAATGAGCCCGGTATTGTGCTTTAGACAGGGAGAAAGTTTAATTATAACGCAGTTCTAATGGGACGTGAGGCGAGTGCAAACTCCGCGAGTGACGTGCTCCAGTCTTCATAACAAAGGCAGTTTGCAGCTTCTCCAGCTGTGTGCAAACACTTCCAGTGCCCACAGTGCCAAAAAGTTGTCATTATAACTTGAAAAACAATACAAACCACCTGAATGACTGAAAGATCTACACCCCAACCAGAACCATCAACTGCTGTACCCATGACAGCCCAGCACAGCTCCCGCCCTGCTTTTCCAGCACAAGGTATTTTAACAGAGCTGGAAATATTCCTGCTTTAATAACCCAGCTCCTACCCCAAACCCTGCCCCTGTGGGCACTGGGCTCTCTTGTTCACACTGCAAAAACACATTTATTATTCACATGTGAAGTTATGGGGTCTGTGGGCACTGGGCTCTATTTTTCACACTGGAAAAGCACATTATTATTATTCACATGTGAAGTTACACGGCTGCCAGAGGAAAGCTCAGAACATCCACCTGATAGAAGTGCAGGCACTACACTTAACACAGCAATTAACTTGAAACGAAGTAATTACAAAGAACACAGCAAATAAACTGAGCAGGAGGTTGTGAACGAGGCAAATGGCATTAAACGAGGTCAGCTCAGCTCTGCTCTTTGCAGCGGCTTCTTCGGACTGACCACAGGAGAGATAGGCTGGGCTTTTATTTCAGTTTGATTATTACTGTTATTGTTCAATGCTCAGGTGGGTGGATGGAGGGCAGGATCCCCACACAGCAGAGCTCCCACCCACCTCCAGGGCTGCAACGTCCCTCCCACGCAGTGTTTGTGCTCTGGGGTGAGGGAGCCCCACGGCAGCAAAACAAGAGTGGCCTGACCCCCCCAAAACAGCCCAAGGCTGGGGAGGCCCCACTGGGTGCCAGGTCCCAGCACCCACCTGCACATGGGGCTTTATCCCCTCAAAACCCTGCTTTTATCACACTGGTTTTATCCCCTAAACCCTCCCGGCTCTCACTGCAACCAAACTGAGCTCCCCCGGTGTGTGAAGGCAGCCCAGGCAGACGGGAGTTAAGCTCTCCAAAATAACTCTGCAGGAGACAGCAGTGTTTTGCAAGGCTGGGAAAGGGCAGGCTGTGAGAACACCCTCCATTAGTCACCTCAACAACAGCCCAGAGCAGCTCCCCTGGCAGCAAACAGAGCAGCGTTAGCACGGCATTAACATCGGCTTGGGTAAAAAGGGGCAGTTTAAAAGACAGGCTTCAACATGGAGCTTCTTACCAATAATCATTGCAGTGAATAGGTCTCTATATAAGAAATTAAACAGGAAAGGTGCATACCAGGCCTCAACTCCCACAAAGGCTGTCACTATGTAGACAATTGAAATGGTCTGAAAGAAAGCACAAGGACAGGCAGGCGTGAGGAACGCGACGGGCACGGCTGGAGAGTGTGAGCTGAGAGAGTGTGAGTTGAGAGTGTGAGCTGGGAGAGTGTGAGCTGAGAGTGTGAGCTGGGAGAGTGTGAGCTGAGAGTGTGAGCTGGGAGAGTGTGAGCTGGGAGAGTGTGAGCTGGGAGAGTGTGAGCTGAGAGTGTGAGCTGGGAGAGTGTGAGCTGAGAGTGTGAGAGTGTGAGCTGAGAGTGCGAGCTGGGAGTGTGAGCTGGGAGTGTGAGCTGGGAGAGTGTGAGCTGAGAGTGTGAGAGTGTGAGCTGAGAGTGTGAGCTGGGAGGGTGAGCTGAGCGAGTGTGAGCCGGTGGCGTTGTGTGAGCTGGGGACGGTGTGAGTGGAGAGTGTGAGCTGAGAGGTGAGCTGAGAGTGGAGCTGGGAGAGTGTGAGCTGGGCGAGTGGAGCTGAGAGTGTAGAGCTGCGGGTGTGTGAGCTGTGGGGCGTGTGAGCTGGGAGCGCGTGAGCTGGGAGTGTGAGCTGGGAGCGTGTGAGCTGGGAGTGTGTGAGCTGGGAGAGTGTGAGAGTGTGCGCTGGGAGGGTGTGAGAGTGTGAGCTGGGAGAGTGTGAGCGTGTGAGCTGGGAGTGTGAGCTGGGAGTGTGTGAGCTGGGAGAGTGTGAGAGTGTGAGCTGGGAGAGTGTGAGCTGGGAGTGTGTGAGCTGGGAGTGTGAGCTGGGAGAGTGTGAGCTGGGAGTACCTGGGCTGGCACCACCTGGCAGCTCTGCTAAGGCACGTTCAGCCCTACCCACCCCAGGAAGGAGGAAAATAAAACAAACTCACAACCCCCCCAAGGCAGGAGGTGTAATCAGAGTGAGCAGGGATTGGATCGGGCAGTGCCCGTCCCTGTGCCAGCACTGCTGGGACAGCAGGGCCAGGGCAGTGCCCTCCCTGTGCTGGCACTGCTGGGGCACCTCCAGTGCTGGGGCAGCTCTGGGACCCTCACACAGGAGACACAGGGAGGGGCTGGAGCGTGGGCAGGGAAGGGAAGGGAGCTGGGAAGGGGCTGGAGCAGCAGGAGGGGCTGAGGGAGCTGGGGGGGCTCAGCCTGGAGAAAAGAGGGATCAGGGGGGACCTTCTGGCTCTGCAACCCCCTGACAGGAGGGGGGAGCCGGGGGGGGTCGGGCTCTGCTCCCAGGGAACAAGGGACAGGAGGAGAGGGAACGGCCTCAGGCTGTGCCAGGGGAGGCTCAGGTGGGATATTGGGACAATTCCTTGATGGAAAGGGCTGTCCAGCCCTGGCACAGGTGCCCAGGGAAGTGGTGGAGTCCCCATCCCTGGTGGGATTTAAAATCCCTGTGGATGTGACACGTGGGGACACGGGGCAGTGGTGGCCTGGGCAGTGCTGGGGCATGGCTGGACTCGATGGTCTCAGAGGGCTTTTCCAGCCTCAGTGATTCCTGGAGAAGGGCAGGACCAGGAGCCAGGATGCCCTTGCTCAGCCAGAACCCACGAGATGTCCCGAGCACAGTGACAGGTTTTACACCACAAGTTCCAGTGACCCCAGAGGGTTCACTCAGGGACAGTTTCTTATCCATCTGCTGCTGGATTACAGGGCAAAGGCTCACAGGGAATATTTCAGCTTTACCAGCCCCCCTGAACTGGTGGAACATGCTGCAGGGCAGCTCAGCCCTCCACCCTGCCCTTCTGCAAGGGGCATGAGCCGAAAGCACGGGCGTTAAGCAACACTTGTGGAGAAAGGGCTCAGAGTTATCTGGGGTTCAGCTCCGGAGTCCTTTACCAGGAGAGATGATTATTATAATTATTATAGTGCAGCTGCATTCACTGAACTCTCCTTCCAGCTTGTTGCACTTCCCACCCAGCACCTGATGAGCCAGAAGATAAATAGAACAGGTGTAATCAAATATAAGAGGCTTTTTTACAATGAGGGTGGTAAAACACTGGCACAGGTTGTCAAGAGAACGTGTGGTTGCCCCATCCCTGGAATTGTTCAAGGCCAGGTTGGACAGGGCCTGGAGCAACCTGGGTGAGTGGAAGGCACTGCCAGCAATACAGGGGACCTGTCTCATGCCAGCTGTCATCACAAAAAGCTCCCTGCAGAGAATTCCTTAACGAGGGATGGACACCCCAACACCCCAGAGGGTCCCTCACCATCAGTCTCAACGCCCACTGCCCAGGCACCAGGGTATGGGGGGGCACCTCCCCGGGACCCTTTGCTCCAGGCACAGCAATTAACGAGCCAATTAACCCCGCTGTGGTTTTGGCACCTGCCCCAATAGCACCAAAGGGCACCCCAAACATCCAGCCTTGAACTCACCCACACCGGTGCCACGCAGGAAACTGCCCGAAGCCACACTTCAGGTGGCCAAAACACGCACTGAGAACCAGGGAGAGAGGAAAGACAAGGCAGTGCCCACCCTTCAAACCTCGGTTTTCCCGGAGAGTCCACCTCCAAGGGGAAAATTCCACGACCGCCAAGGCTCTGGAGGGGAGCAGAGCCAGCTCCTCCCTCGCACCCCGTGGCGGGCGGGCACACCCCAACCCGGGGGGCTGGCTGGGCACTCACCACCTGGCTGATGTCATATCCCCAGGGCAGGAACAGAATGCCCGTGTTGTACTTCTCCCAGTGGGAGAGGATGAAGGAGAACAAGACCACCCAGAGCAGGAGGTAGAGCACGAAGACGCTGACGCCGGTGGAGCCGCGGCCAAAGGTGGAGTAGACGGTCACCACGAAGTACACGCAGGCCCAGCTGTCCAGCCCGTGGTCGAAGAGCTCCCCCAGGGGGGTGCTGGAGTTGGTCCGGCGCGCCTGCTTCCCGTCCACTCCATCTGGGAGGAGCAGAAGGAAGGGGCAGTTCTCCTGGACAACCCACACACAAAGCACAGGGGGCAGCGGCTGCCACCGCTCCCACCCTCCGGTGGGAGTGGGGAGTGGGATTCCCACCCACCCCGATCCACGGGAGGCTGGAAATGCAACAGGCTGACAAGGTTACGTTTAGTGCCTTGTATTTCCTCTGTATTCCTTAAAGCAGCCCCTTCCAGAGCCTAAAGGGGCTCCAGGAGAGCTGGAGAGGGACTGGGGACAAGGCCTGGAGGGACAGGACACAGGGAATGGATCCCAGTGCCAGAGGGCAGGGAGAGATGGGAGATGGGGAAGGGATTCCTGGCTGGGAGGGTGGGGAGGAGCTGGGCTGGAATTCCCAGAGAAGCTGTGGCTGCCCCTGGATCCTTGGAAGTGTCCCAGGCCAGGCTGGACAGGGCTTGGGGCAACCTGGGCTAGTGGAAGGTGTCCCTGCCCATGGCAGGGGGTGGCACTGGATGAGCTTTAAGGTCCCTTCCAACCCAAACCATTCTGTGATTCCTGACTATTTAAAGCAGACCCAAGACAGGATTTCACAATTTATCTCAAATTTGTCTTGGTTCCAGTTTCCTCCTTTCCTCATCTGCTGCTCTGGGACAACTTCCTTCTCTCCACTTTGCAAAGCAGCTCCCAGAAGCTGCTCCAGCAGACCCAGGAGCAGCTGGATCAGTGCCTGGCGGGAGACAGAATCCAACATTTCCCAGGGGGCTCAGAGACCGGGTGACACGCAGCCACAGCACGACCAGGTGAGCACAGCCCAGCAGGAACACTCTTACCTAACGTGTAGGCCATGAAGTTGAGGAGCCCCACAACGATCCACACTCCGTTGGGAACGTGCTGGTGGTCAGGAGCTGCAGGGATCAGACAGAGCCGAGTCAGGACAGCTCAGGACGAGCTCCCAGGGGGGTTTGTTTTGGCCCAAGAGGCCCCAGGACCAAGCAAAGCACCTGCACAACTCAGTGAAACCGGGATGTGAACTTTTCGGGATGTGATGGCTGAGCTGCTCCACAACAGCTCACGAAACCAGGACACTGAGGAATTTTCCTTCCAGGATTTAACTTCTCCTCTGTCCCCAGATCCCCAAAAATCACAGGCTCTAAGAACTGGGGCGAGTTCCGTAGCCCCACTGCAGCACCACGGAGTTGTGTGCAGGGGACTCTCCTCGATCCCTCGCTGGTGGAGCATCAGGTGGAGCCTCTCTGGGATGTGGCAATTCCCGGTCTCCGTGCCAGGATTCCCTGCCCAGTCTCCAGTCCCATCCCTCTAATGGAAAAGGAGCTGCTCTTTCATGGCACCCCCACCTCCTGCAGCACGGCCCTGGCAGGGACCCAGCACGGCCAGGGAGCCCAAGGGGCGCTGGAAAACAGCGGGGAGGGCACAGGGAGGTCTCCTGAAGGAGCAGTGATTCCTTGGAATGCCACTCCCTGTTTCCTCAGGGCAGCAGGATGGTGCCTTCCCAGCAGCAAGCAGAGGGTCACGCCCACAAAGCCATCCCAGGAGGAGGGAAGGCACAAGGCTCTGGAGGCTCCATCAGCACAAGGAAAGGTTCTCTTTCCAAGAGGGACGTGCAAAACATGGATGAAAAAGGGCCCCAAAGCAAGAGCGTCACCACCCCTCCAAAGCCAATTTTTGAGATGCTAGGAGAGCTGGGGGGGGTCACCTGGAGAAGGGAAGGCTCTGAGGAGATCTCAGAGATCCTTCCAGAGCCTAAAGGGGCTCCAGGAGAGCTGGAGAGGGACTTGAGACAAGGGATGGAGGGACAGGACAAGGGGAATTGGCTTCCTGCTGCCAGAGGGCAGGGAGAGATGGGACATTGGGAAGGAATTCATGGCTGTGAGGGTGGGGAGGGGCTGGCACAAGTTGGCCCAGAGAAGCTGTGGCTGCCCCTGGGTCCCTGGAAGTGTCCAAGGCCAGGTTGGACGGGGCTTGGAGCAACCTGGGCTAGTGGAAGGTGTCCCTGCCCATGGCAGGGGGTGGGACTGGAGGGCCTTGAAGGTCCCTTCCAAGACAAACCATTCTATAATTCCACGATTCTGGATGTCTGATGTCCTGGGGATCCTCCCCTTGACCTACTGTCAGCTTTTCCTCCATGGCCCAAGGACCAAACACGACCCAAATCTTGGCAAACAGCCCCTGATGCCACCCGAGCTCTCGACAGCCTGGACTCACCCACCCACCAACAAAGGCAATCCCCAGAAACCAGGATCTTCCCACTTAACTGTGTTTTGATGAGGGGCCCAGCTTCAGAAGAACAAGAATGAACTCTCCAGAGCAACCCAACCCAACCCTGGCAGGGGCAGAGGGAGAAAAAACACACAGAGGGATCCACAGAGAGTTATCCTGCTGTAACCCCTTCCCTGGGATTCTGCCACGAGGGAAGGGACAACCGAGCCTTTGGAATCACAGGCAGCGTTGGAAAGCTCAAAGCTGTGAACAGGGAGGCTGAGGAGGAGGATTTGGCCTGGTTGGTCTGCAGGGGTGGAGTGTTTTGCAAGAGGGCAGCAAGCAGGGATGTGAGGAACGAGGCTGCTGGTTCCAGGGAAGCAGCGCTTCCCACGTCACCCTGTGATTTGAAAACAAGGGCACCGGGTTGTTGTCTGCTCTGTAGGAAGAGCCAATTCCTGCCCAAGATTCCAGCTGTTTGCTCCTCCCTCTGTAGGATGAGCCCATTCCTGCCCAAGATTCCAGCTGTTTGCTCCTCCCTCTGTAGGATGAGCCCATTCCTGCCCAAGATTCCAGCTGTTTGCTCCTCCCTCTCCCACCTGACGCCAGGAGCTCACTCCTCTGGCAGCTGGAGGGAAGGTGTTGTACCCAGACAAGTCTTGCTCAGGAAGCCCCAGTGGGTTCAACCCCCTGCTCTGTCCCATCACTTGGGAAGGCCCAGACCCAGGGGCTTCCCCCACACGCTCTGGAATTCCCAGCACATCCAGTGGCAGATCCACATCCCCCCGGGAACGCGCGGCCTTACCGGAGGCGTAGAAGTCCGGGTCGAAGTACGCCATGAGGAAGAAGTTGAAGACAAGGAGCAGGAAGCCAGAGAAGGTGATCAAGTTTGGGGCCAGCCAGGTGGGGAAGATCTGTGGGGAAGCAGCAAAAGAACAGAGGAACTCCTTAAACCACGGGCGAGGGAGCACGTGCTGCGGGGACACCGTCCGGAGCATCCCGAGCATCCCGAGCAGCAGGATGGGATGCAGGGACTCAGGGCAGGCTGCAGGCAGCCCCTGGGGGCTCAGGGCACCCCAAAGGAGGCAGCTGAGGGTGTCCCAGAGGCGGCTGGCGGGGCTCACCTTGACGATGGTGTTCCAGAAGGGATGCATCACGTACAGGGACAGGGGGTTGCTGTCCACGGCGCTGTACTGGGAACCACAGAGGAAACAAAGCCACAGGTCAGGGCTCAGAAACACACGGGAAAGGCCAGAGATCCGGAATCACAGGGGGTGGAAGGGACCTTAAGGATCATCTGGTCCCAACCCCTCCACCATGGGCGGGGACAACTCCTGCTATCCCACTTATCCACCCTGGCCTGGAACACTTCCAGACTTGGGGCATCCACAATCCTGTTCCAGTGCCTCACCACCCTCACAGTACAGAATTTCTTCCCAGCATCCAACCTAAATTTCCCCTCTTGCAATCTGTATCCATTACTCCTTGTCCCATCACTGCTGTTCCAGGAATACTGAGCTTTCCACGAGGACAAAAACCACCCGAGTCTTGGCACTGCAACAGCACTTGGGTCAAGGGTGGGGTCTCCCCAAAAACAGTGTGAACATCCCAAAAAGCCCCCTGAGACCCTGCATGGAGCACCCAGGGCACTCCTGGTGCTCACCCACCGACCCTCCAGCCTTTGGAAGTGTCAGCTCCAGCTCTCTGAGCCGGACACGAGGCAAGGAGAAGATGCTGATCCTTCACCAGGCACCTGCCTCCAACTGCTCTGCCCTGCCTGGGTGGGGAAAAACGTGGAGGGAGAGCTCCTGCCCCTCATCCCACCACTTCTGCAACATTTCAGGTGCTCGGGGCGTGTTTGTGGGGGGGGGGAATAAAAACAGAAATGCAAATTAAAGGGTGAGACAAGGCGTGAGACAACTCCAGTCAGGGAGTTAAACCTGGACACCCTTTGGCTCTGGAGAGCAGCACGAGCTGTCCTCTGCTCCCACAGCCCTTCTGACACAGATCTCCCTGGCTAAAGTCCTCTTCCCCAGGAAACACTTTGATAAGAATCCCAAGGAAATTCCACAGCCTATGGAACTCCTCGGCTCCCTGTGGTTGGGGCAACCCCCCCCCCCCCCCGGTCCCCAGCAGGGGCACCTGCTCGAGTCCAGTCCCAGCACAGAATCCCAGACTGGTCTGGGTGGGGAGGGAGCTGAAACCTCATCCACTGCCACCCCCTGCCTTAGGCAGGGACATCTTCCACTAGCCAAGGCTGCTCCAAGCCCTGTCCAGCCTGGCCTTGGACACTTCCAGGGATCCAGGGGCAGTCACAGCTTCTCTGGGCAGCCTGGGCCAGGGCCTCCCCCCCTCCCAGCCTTCCCAATCTCCCATCTCTCCCTGCCCTCTGGCACTGGGCAGCCATTCCCTGTGTCCTGTCCCTCCAGGCCTTGTCCCCAGTCCCTCTCCAGCTCTCCTGGAGCCCCTTTAGGCCCTGGAAGGGGCTCCAAGGTCTCCCTGGAGCCTTCCCTTCCCCAGCTGAGCCCCCCCAGCTCTCCCAGCCTGACTCCAGAGCAGAGGGGCTCCAGCCCTGGCAGCATCTCCGCGGCCTCCTCTGGACTCTCTCCAGCAGGTCCCAAGTTTGGTCTGGCTGGTAAAAGGAGGCCCCTGCCCAGGTAGCAGCTCTGTGTCCCCACCCAGCCCGTGGCCCTGATCCTGCCCCATCACTGCACCCAGGGGTTGCTCCTCTCCTCGCCCACAAACCCCCTTTTCCCTGGAAGCAGCCTGTCCGTTTCCAAAGCTGGGGACAAAGTGGTGGGAAAGGGCCAAGTGACACCTGCCAGGAAAGGCAGCAGGGCCAGGAAGGGGCACCATGGCCAGGAAGGGGCACCATGGCCAGGAAGGAGCACCAGGGCCAGGAAGGGGCACCAGGGCCAGGAAGGAGCACCAGGGCCAGGAAGGGGCACCAGGGCCAGGAAGGAGCACCAGCTCCCGCCGGGCTCCCATCTCACAGTGTTTGTTCCCAACGAGATGAATCCCACCCTTGGTGAGGATTTCCGTGCCCCCTCCCAGCCCTTCCCTGCCCTCCCCAGGCCGGATCAGTCCATCTCCCTGGGATTCAGCCCTGGAGCTTCCATCCCCACGCCAGCCATCCCACGGGAGCCGCAGAGCCAGCAGCAGCAAACCCCGAGGCCGAGGCCGTAGGGGGGTGAGGGATAAGCCACAAGGAATTTCCATCCCAGCTTAGTGCAGTTTTGGGAGGCAGAATTCCAAACGCTTTGCGAGGTTAATAGGATTTGAACCACTAGTTAGGGGAGGAGGAGGAGGGTCTGATTTAATCTCATTATCCCCAAAACAAGCCTGGAACAAGAACACAGACGCGAGGCTCGGAGCGAGGCGGGGGAAGCTCCGGAGCCTCTGTGCTCCTGAGGAACCTCGGGGAAGCTTTTCCAGGCTCATGTCTTGGGAAGCTTTCCCCTCTCCCTGCAAAGACTGGGGGTAACAGTCAAAAGGCAGCTTTTCCCCATGGCCACACACATCCCCACCTCTCCTGCAGAGCTCAAAGAGCTGGAAGGACCCGTTTCTTGAGGGAGGGGGCAGCTGCTCTGCAGAGGTTTGTTGATACAACCACGGAATCAGGGAATATCCTCAGCTGGAAGGGACCCACAAGGATCACCAGGTCCAGCTCCTGGCCCTGCACAGACACCCCAACAATCCCACCCTGTCCCTCAGAGTGTTGTCCAAACACTCCTTGAGCTGTGGCAGCCTCAGGACTGTGACCATTCCCTGGGGAGCCTGTTTGGTGCCAACCTCCTCTGGGGAGGAACCTTGTCCTGAGATCCCACCTGACCCTGCCCTGACACAGCTCCAGCTGTTCCCTGGCTCCTGTCCCTGGTCACAGGGAGCAGGGATTCATGCTGCCCCTCAGGAAGAAGCTGCAGGTCTCCCCTCAGTCTCCTCCTCTCCAGCTGAACACACCAA